ATTCGTCAAGGGCTAGTTACTTGAGCACTCATAGAGTAAATGTGATCACTGAACATTTTCTAAAGGGGTTTTCCAAGCCAAAAATAGCATAGATAAGCAAACAGACAAAAACAGAACAAAACAGAAGAGAACAAATAAACTGTAGTTAAATCACTGTCATACTTGTAGGATGATTTCAAAAGAAAAAAAAAAAGTTGAGAATGCTTTTCAAAATCCAAAATAGCATGCCAAATATGTAACATCAAATATAATCAAGATAGGGAACTTAGAAACTTCTGTCACCAGAGGAAATAGTCGAGTCTCCTACAGTTTCATTGAACCAGCTAAAGACTTTAAGAAAGTAAAACAGTACACTGTAGGGAAGTGGGTGGCGGGGAATTAAGTCAGTTTGTGTAGACTTCTAGAGCAAACTGATAGGTGTAGTTTATTTTTATGCTTCTGCTATTAAATTTTCAACACCATTTAACTGGTTAATAAAATATTAACTTAGGATATGGGTATATTTTTAATCTAGATGTGTCATAATACTCTGCAATTACAAAAATCACACAACACTTAACTTCATGCCAGAAGAGTTAAGAAGCAATAATTTGCCATACTACAAAGACCTGGAAGAATAGATCTATGCTAAGTATTTTTGTCTCTGCTTTGCTGATTGATTATCCCAAAACCAGAATACCTGAGTAAAAAGACCTCTACATTAGTGTAGGGAACAGTTAGCCATTTGTCATTTGCTAGGAAACAAGAAAGGACAAAGTAGTAAGGGTTTGCTTCAGTAACTTCTCACCACTTAATACTTCCATATTCCAATTTTCCCCTTTTAACACCCATGAGCTGGTATTTTAAACAACTGAGAAGATGGTAACCTTTATTTCAGTGCATGTGAGTTTCTTCCCTTGGACCAGATTCTAAAGCCCCACATCTAAAACCAAAAAGAAAAGAAAATTCGAACATTGCTTCTTCATTGGTGTAAATTATTTTTCTCTACTCAATATTTACAATACCCCAAAATTGAGCAAAATAATATTGTGAAATCTAACTTCCAGTTCCTTTTCCTTCCTTTGTTAAATAAACCTGAATAACTTATAGGTTGTTCTCATTTGAAGTTAGAATTCCCAAACCAAAATGTTTCAGGTAGGAAGTTCATATTTGCAAAAGTAAGAAATCTCATTGTGAATTCAAGGGAGAAATAATATTAGTGAAAATCTGGAGAGGAAAAAAAAAAGTAGTACTGGAATAAAGAAGAATAAAGGATTTATAAAAATAATTAAGATTCTCAATGAACACATAGAGGATTGAGATAGAAAAGCAGTGACGGGTAAATTCTACAGTTAAGTGTCCTTGTCCTCTCCAAAACTCCTGTTAAACCTGAACCCCCCCCAATGCAATCTTGCTGGAAGGTGGTATCTGATTGGACATGTTTAGGTCATGAGGTCTCTACCCTCATAAATGAATTAACTACTGTCACCATAAAAAGGGTTTGTGAGAATAAATTTGCTCTTTTTGTCCTTCTGTCATATGAGCATGCAGCAAAATGTTCATCCCAATTGCCACAGCCTTGATCTTTGACTCCCCAGCCTCTAGAACTATGAGCAACAAACTTCTGTTCTTTACAAATTACCCAGTATGTGGTATTCTCTTATAGCAATATAAAGCAGACGGATAGTAGGGAAATCTGCCTTGTCCATAATAGTGAGGGTCAGAGAGCAGTATCTGGGCTGAACTGGAAACTTAATTCTTTCATCTATTCACACACTCCCTACTGTGTAATGCGGTGAAGATGAGATTAATGGTGCCCTTTTCCCTTTTCTTCTCATTGTGTGAAAGACTAGGGAAGTGTGCATTGTAAGTGGCTAGAAGGCGCACATTTTCCCTTTGAAATTTGACTTCATTCAAAGGAATAGAGGTTCCTAAATGTTGGATATGGAAGTTCTTGGAAAGTTTCATCTATTGAGAAAAACATGTAAGTACTGCTGAGCGCTAACCTGTCGTGGTCATCACTGTGTTTACAGGAAGCTCTTCCGTTTTTTCTGACTCAAGAAACCGAAAGCTAGAAGCATTGATAGGAGGAGTCCTCTCTGTTTCCTCTCCTCTGTGGGCTCTGAGCAGTATGAGACACCCAACATTGCTCAAGTTAGTAACTTTCACCAGTGTGCTATTCCTCTGTTATCTTTGGAAATGCTGGAAATAATTTTATTTATTTATTTATTTTCAGCATTTCAGAACACAATATCCTGCTGTTCATTCTCTGAGAGCCTTGCTGATTTATTTTCCTAATGCAAACAAAAAAGCCCTGCTTCCTGCATTACTGAAGCTCTGAAGACCTGGACCACTGTTGAAGAAGTTTCCAGGAAGGTGAGTCCTGTCAGTGCTTTCTGTGGAGAAGATCTGAACACTTAGCCCCAAATCACAAGATCACCAGGGGAAATCAGTCTGGGCTCTTCAGGGTGGTGGGGTGAGGGGAGTAGGGCTGGCACCAGTTATGCTGAGAACAGGGACAACTGCAGTGATTGATTCTCATGGTTCACTTTGAAAGATAACAGACCTCTTTATTCTCCAACACTGAGGCCTGAATAAAGGGAAGTGCATATTGACCATTGCAGATTGTAAAGTAAATGCTGAGGAGGAATTGGCAGGAGTTCATATTGCAGAAGAGGACTTTGGTTTTCTTGGTTGGAGAGAGTATAAAAAACTTGGTGACTGTAGTGAGGGGCCTCAGGAAAAGACAAGAATGAGACATGAAAAAAAGCATAAAGTAATGTTAATTATAAAACACATCTGGAATGACGCTGTGTTGCATAACATTATCCCAATTTTAGAAAACATGAGAACAATTGCAAAGGCATTGTAAAAATATTCAGATTCACAAACACAGTTATTCAAATACATAATCTTAATATCTTCAAAAGTAGGATTTAGTTTTCTTTAACTCCACTCTAAAACAGGTAAATAGATGTCTTCAATTATTTTTAACAAAAATTTTCCCTTAACTAATTAAATCCTGTATGTCCATGATGGATATAAGTATTTTGTCTTGTTTTTTGCTATCTTCACTCTAATCTATGACCCTTCTTTATTCTCTCTCTATTTTTTTTAACTTATTGCACTTTCTTAGGCTTTAAAAGACAAATACATCAGAAACTGTTACCTTCTGTTTCCCCCTTTCATTCACCATACGGATGCACTTCCTGTTTCTCTTCTCTCCTACCATGTTTTTATTTTTAAGACATAGTCTACTTAATCAAGTTTGATTTCATTCTCCAAATATTTTGGCCTGAAGTAGTTAGTGTGCTTTTTTGTTTGTTTGTTTGTTTTGGTTTTGTTTTTGTTTTTGGTACCAGAGATTGAACTCAGGGACACTGAACCACCGAGCTACCTGCCCAGCCCTTTTATGTATTTGATTTAGAGACCAGGTCTCACTGAGTTGCTTAGCGCCTCCTTTTGGCTGAGCTGGCTTTGACTCAAGATCCTGCTGCCTCCCTAGCTGCTGGGATTACATGAGTGCACCCCACCCAGCTCCTGAACTATTTCTTAATAAAACTTTTGGAGTTGTGCGATAGATACGGGGATTTTGAACTAGTATTATAGAAACATTATTCCATTATCTTACTGTAGGCAGCTGTGCTGTTGAAAATCAGTTTCCGTCTGATGCTTGACTCTTTGTAAGTTTCATTCTTTGTTTCTAGAGACTCACAGAGTACTCATTTTTTTGTTTTAATATTCTTCATTTCACTATAATATTCATTGTGTGAATCTTCTCTTTATTCTATGTGCCTTTTCAATCTTGACGATATTCCTGTTCCCTCAGGAGGAAGCAATTATCGCTCCAGATATTTGAACATTCCAGTCAATTAGAGGTATATACAAAAAAACAGAATCCTAAACTAAAAAGACTTGTAAGGTAAGCAGAAAATTGGAATCTATACCATGTACCCAGTGTCACTAGGGAAGAGAATAAGAGGCTACCAAAGTTCAGGGGTGTGACTCTTATCCATGTGGGAACTCTGGGGCTTCCGGAAGACAAAACCTCATTTCAGTCTTCAAGGTTGTAGTGGAAGATAATCAGAGAAAGAAATACAGAAGTGGCTTTTCAGGCCATGAAATGGGAACTAGCAAAGTCTTAAAGCGTGAAAAGACAAGGTGTGTTGTGTATTTCAAAAGCATATGATAGAAAGGTATACAAAGAAAAAACAGAGATGAATAGATGAAGATAAATCAAGGCCTTTCAGACTATACTTAGGGAGTCAGGGATATTTTTTTTAAGAAAATTAAGAAACTATTAATAAATTTAAGCTGTAATACACTGTGAGTTTTAGAGAGAAAATAGACATTATGATAAAAACTAATGGAGAAAATTAGACCTGAAAGTATATAAATCAAGAAACTGTTGAAATAATTCTACCAATAAATACTATGACCCAATAAATAATTCTACCAATACATATTGTGACAAAGGACACAGAATGCATGCTCCAACACGAGGACAGACGAAGTACTAATGAGAGCTGGGTAGGGAAGAGCCAAGTGGACAGGCTCAGTGCCTGAGCCTGGAAGTGGGGTGCAGCAGCAGCAGACAGTCACTCCTGGGGGCGGGGGGAGGCCACGGCCATTGGCCCAGCAGCCACTTCATTCATAACAGGTGAGCAGAGAGTCAGGAACAAGATACACCCAGGGATGGGCCCCAGGTCCAAGAAAGAACGGCAAGGGGAGCCAAGGGCTCTGACACTGCACACCCCCAGCCTGTTTCCAGACCCCTTCACCACCCACCATTGAATCCACTCAGCTCTCATCACTCAGAGGGAAGAATTTCTTAGAAACGTGTACTGCAGCATTTCTCCCCCCATCTCCACAGCAGCACCTCTGGTAACCAAGCCCTCTTCATCATCGCACACACACCTCTGGACGGCACTTGGACGGGGGCAGTCACTCACATACACATAAGCCATTTTTTAAAGTGTCCATATGCACGTGTTAGACTCTATGCTGTTTCTGTCTTGTAGGCTCATCTGTAACTTGAGAGATGGTAAACGAATACAAGAAAATTGTCCTGCTGGTGGGGCTAGAGGCCATTAAGGATTATGAATTTAGATTGATTAAGTCCTTATTGGCCAAAGACTTAAAACTGACTAAAAATATGCAAGATGATTATGACAGAATTAGGATTGCTGACTTGATGGAAGAGAAGTTCCAAAGGGATGCTGGGCTGGGAAAACTGATAACACTCTGCAAAGACATTCCAGCACTTGCAGACCTCGCGGAAACTCTTAAAACTCGGAGGTTGAAAGGTAACCAGGAGGCACCCCTGACTCCCATCCTTTCTGCCCCCATCTTCCCCAACATTGACTAGAGCCCTGACTTGCTCACAGTTGATACATCCCAAGTCAAAACCTCAGTTACCATAGCAATCATGGTTCTTGAGATGCCAACCATTTGACAACTTAGAGAACTCCTTTACAACCAAGTGTATCTTGGTTAGTGGAGTATGTCTTTTGAGGGTAGAAATGAAGGAAAAAATCAGGAAAAGCCATTGAGAGACTAGGGCTTCAAATACTTTAGATAAGAAAATGAACAGTAAAATTAGAAAAAAAAAAAAGTGCATTTCAAAAATATTTAAATCACAGCTGGCGATATAACTTAGTTGGTAGAGTGCTTGTCTTGCATGCACAAAGCCCTGGGTTCAATCCCCAGCACCATACACACGAACACAAAAATATTTAAAGCAATTATTATTACTGCTCTATTAGAATACTTGCTTCATCATTAATATCTTCTCTGGCAACAAAAAAAGAAGAGTGTTTAATAAAAACGTGCCTCTCTGTGATGTGAAGAACTTCCCTCTCATAAAGGGTTTAAAAACCACTTGCAAGAACTCAAAGTCCAATATCACTTCTTTATCGTGTGACAAAGCAGATGATAATTTCTTCCTCTATTCTCTCCAATTTGGAGGAATCTTCTACAAAGATGACCTCTCCTTAACATCATGTAGAGTGTAGAAACTTATGAGGCAAATGTACAATAAGAGGGTTGGGAAAGGGATTGACAGAGGTCCCTGGGAGTCCCCGGGATAGGAAGGCTGTGCTCACTGCACACAGGAAGGGTAAGGAAACCGCGGAGGGACAGGCTGGGCCTGGGTGGCTTCTGCCAGGCTGAGCTGATGGGCTAGAGGTGGACGCCCCGAGTCAGACACAAAAGCAGGAGCAGAGAGGAAACCGACTGAGACTGCGTCCACTGTCTTCACCCAGGAGCCCCGGTTTATTGTGCTGTCTTTCTTTTTTATTGATTTTATTATTTTTAAAAAATACACGACAACAGTGGAATGCATCACAATCCTTACTGCACATATAGAGCACAAATTTTTTTGTCTCTCTCTATATAAAGTATGTTCACACCAGTTTATGCCATTATACATGTATTTTTTTGCATTACAATTCTTCATACATATATATACCACAACTTTTCATATCTCTGTATATAAGGTATTTTCAAGTCTTCATGCATGTACTTTGTATCATGATGACCATCACATTCCACCATCCTTGCTAATCCCCTTCTTCCTCTCTTCCCCCGCCCCCACCCCTCTTCCCTATCTAGAATTTATCTAATCCTTTCATGCTCTCCCTCCCTACCCACTATGAGTCACCCTCCCGCCACCCCGCTTATATCAGAGAAAACATTCAGCATTTATTGTGCTGTCTTTTACTTCATCAGTTAAAAGCAAATCCAAAAGGGGAAGAAAATCCACAGGGAAAAAAAAATCTACAGGGAAAAAAGTGGAGCAGGATGAATCTCCTACTGCCCAGTCCAGGTCCACAACAAATACAGATTCGGAACCAGAGTCAGAGGAGGAGATACCTTCGTTGAAGGTAGGACTGCTGAGCCCCCACTGAAAAAGCGTCCACTCCTGATCTTCCACTTCTTGCCTTTTAATCTACCCTCCAGTCTCTGTATAGATCAAGAACGTAGTGAAAAACGAGCTTCTGAGCCTGCAAACTCATACCTGTTGGTCTCCCGTTTTCTTTCAGTACTGCTGTGCACTTGAACTTAGGTAATATGACCCCCTAGGGCAGAAACAGAAAATCATCACACTTTTGTAAGATATGCACTAAAATAGCAATCAGTTTGGGACAATGGCTTGCTAAAGCCTATTGAGAG